CATACACACACATATGAAAAACAAACAAAGAAAAACTGTTGTCATGTCAAAACTGGTCTAATGTAATGGCTAAAAATTATACCATATGTTTTCGTATTCAGCTTTCCATACTCAGCTTTGATTATTATGACTACACGATTTGGGTACTTATAGTAAACTTCATGTAGTCATAGTTGTTAGTTTAAATTATACTCAAAACAGTGAGTTTAAATCTGCAGGTAGGTGATTTGGCACAATGACTTTGCTGTACTCTGAGAACAGTGATATAATGTAATGCAAATTAATTTGGCTTTGCACTCATCATGTCCGACAGCTGCTGATTTGATAAAGAAGACCTTCCAGCAAGCAGGCTGAGTGTTTTACCTCTTTTTGGAATGAAAAAACATAGTTTTCTGCGTTTTGTCATCAACAAAACCAAGAGTTTTCACTGAACGTGCTCTCTGGAATGCTCCCTTAAGACTTGCCCAAACATGTGTTTGCAAGTTGTATTTTTTCCTGTCTGTAAAACCACGACCTCCCTTTTTTCCAAGAACTTGATGGTACTTCTCGTACTTTTCCTGTGAAACAGAATGACGGTTCGGGGTGGATGTAAAGAGAAGAAGTGAAGCAGAAACAGCTGTGAATTAGCCTTGTCCATAGTTTTGTTGGTACTCAGAAGGGAACATTGACTATATCAACACAGATATGCTATGTCCTTGGATCTTACCTGTTTGAGAATGGTTTAGTTTAGGAGTCATTGAAATGGTTAAAAATGTCATCCACGATTTATAAACATCCATGTTACATCTACTTTTATTTATCTACTTTTATTAATAATAGTTTTTTTTATATCTACACTGCAGCTGTCTTTAACTTGTAAGTTTTTTTCGTATAGACTGCTTGATGTCCAGTATTGCAGGAAATAGTCTGGTGAATTCACTACTAGTTAGTCTGGTTTAAGAAGATGACCACTATTTTCAAATGTAGGACCAAAGCTAAAGTGAAACATTTCTCCTCCATGTTAGAAAGCACAACTTAAGGCAATGTCTTGTCCTGATTCTACTGATATTTTAGAGCTTTGTGCAAAAGCAGCTTGAGATTATAGTAGCCTGTAGTGTGTCTTTTACCCTTTACTTTCCTCAGTGTTGGCCTGAGCAGGTCACACGCTCCAGCTTACCTCTAGATGATGAATTCTGCTGTGCTGCTACTCTAAACAGTGCAATTGTAACTGTTAGTTTGAAACAAATGCCATTTCATTATAGACGTGAGCTCAATCTCTGATAGAGTTTTGTTATTGCTAGTAGCAGACTGTTGCGTAAAGTTAGGTGGTTTAACTTTAGCTTCAGTTTTGGCTTAGAGCTGGTAGAAAATGGTTTTGCGTCACTTTGTTATGGTCTGCAACAGACTCGAGCTGTATTTGTGTTACTGCATGTGTGTTTGAGTCTGCTGACTGACTTTTGAGTTTATCTCACACTACATTTGCACCACACACACACACACACGAAAGCACATTTGAAGATGGCAGATAAAGTTTTTTCCACTGGCACAGCACTGTGCAGGGTTTTCAAACTCAAAAATAGCAGCAGTCACAACTTGTGAATTTTTGTGAATGGAGTGTTTCTCTGTAGTATCCAGCTGACTGCTTTCACTCGTGTCACTTGTACAGCTTGTGGCCCATTTCTGACTTGTGGGTGCTCCAGAGTTCCCCGAAAGAACTGCAAGATAGTTCTGTTTTTTACTTGTACAGCACGCTCTTTATTTATTTATTGGCTTTTAATACACCATTACCTTGGCACTGTCCCTACTCTTGTTTCTGCTTGAACCGTAGTTTTCAGGGGTTTCCATAGCTATCTGCATCAGATGTTGAGAAGGAAAGCTATCACATGCTTTAGTGAACTAGGTAATACAGCCTTCTGGGTGCAGCACTCAGGAGGCTAGCCTGATGCTACCCCTATATCCGCCCCATGCAGTGCAGTCTTTCAGAGCTTTGCCCCAGAGGGCATGAATGTGTGAGCTGTTGAGTTGTCACACTTTGGTCTCATGACTGTTTGTACTTTTGTGTGCTGCTTTCTGGCAATCTTATCTGAAGGCTTTAATGAACCTGTTCTCTCCATTTTAATAGTCTTTTATAGGCCAAGTTCTTGGAACAATAACATATGGCAAGGATTGCAAATTGATAAGAGCTGTCATAGTTAAAATAAATGTCCCGTATTGTGCTTCTCTTTTAATTGAACCAATATATGATAACAGATTTTCAGATAACCACATTATAACTCTTTTGATTGGGTCTGTTAGTTTAGCAGACTGTATAGTATCTGGGGTTAAACGCGGACATTTTAGTGATTCGTCTTATAGAAAGATGTAAAGTCTTTTTTTCTGGAGGAAATTTACAGCTCTCCATTTTTTATTTTACACAT